GGAAAATTTCATTTGCTAACTCAGTGCATTAAATTTTGACTCATCTTTTACGCAGTGTCATTCCAGCTGTCGACTAGTTCAGGCAACTCCTGAATTCTAAAAAAATTCCCCACCTGCTGGGCAGTATCGTTCAGTAATGCCAGCAAATCTTCGCCACGAAGTTTGTTCGGCATCAGCATCGTTCCTTAGCAGCAAATGAGATGGTTGATCTTCTTCATGATTGGTACCAGTAAGTGCTACAGATGAGAGAATGTCAAAAGTCACCTTGCCATCAGATTTCGGATATTCGATCGGCTCCGACTGTAATGCATCACACAATTTTCTGCGTATTGCTTGGTACCATAAGCAAGCGAGGGGCCAGCAAAAGACTAACAGTGGCATGAAAATTAATTTATAAGTCAAGCGCTCCTAGCACAACTATTCCACAGTACACCGCTTATCAAAGCTGCAAGACCGGCCTCCCCTTGAAGCAGGACTGGAGAAATGCATTTGTGAAAATGAACAGCGAATATGGCTTGAGCCAAAACAGAGCAGAAAGGAGAAGTGGTCGGCCGCTGTATCGATGCAGAAAAAGAAAGCAATGAGGAAGGCATAGCTGCCCAAAGAACCATCCTATGTACGCGATGTGGACGTGGAAAACTCAAAGCCTCAGAAGCAATAATTGTGTAACAACGTGATTTCTTAGCATACCAGCAAGGTGCAAGTACTAGCATCACCTTTCACTGAGGGTTCTGCGTAGTTCCACTAGCCATCACTGCGAATACTTATTACAGTTAATATACTTCCCTGTATATTGAAAATACAGCGAAAAGGGGCATTCAAAGTGTTTTGAAATATTGGGAATTTACCCAAGAAAATTTTGCATAAGATGTTATTTTCAAGCTCCAGGCAGTTAAAAAGTTTGGAAATCAGCTTACTCGCCATGCTGAATCGGTCTGCAGCCAGTCATCCACTGTGTTTCTGAAAGTCCATGGCTCACGTCCACCAAGTAACATGTAGAAGAATGCAGTGTATGGCATACCTCCCATCCATCCTAAGCGACTATTGAAAGACGGGCGGATATTTCGCATGGATTGCAACTCTTTTATTACATACGTATCGTTCAGTTTTGGCTCATAATCATCCGGTACGACAGCTGAAATAAAAAATCAAAA